CTTAAGTATTTTTATTTTACTGATTTTTTTTTTTCCTAAGGTTTCATTTTTATTTGGATCTCAGAACAACTACTGGGTCCATGATATGGGCCCTGCGAGTGTCCTGAGTAAATGTGCGCTGGCACTATTTGGCTAAAAGTATCTTTAAAAAAGAGCATTATTTTCATATTAAAAACAGATGTGTGCACACCTGGCTTCATTTGCATATTCAACAACAGATCTGTAATTTAGAAAAAATTTACTCCTCAGCAGGCTGATTTCATATTCTCTTAGTTGTTTGTTCGGTTAGTGGATGATCCTGATATAACCAGCTTACTCAGACAATGGATCTTTTTTGTTTTTAATATGAGCCTTCAAGTTGCTGTGATTCTTTTTGTGTAAAAGAAAGCCAAATTTCAAATAATTTGTTTAATACGTATGAATTCCATGTAGGTGGATACTTCAATTTTATTACAGGTGTGATGGAACAAATGGAATAGAAGCAGCTTTTTATTGATAAGGGCAGAGAGATAGTCACTGACTGTGGCATGATATGTATTAGCCAGCCAGCTAAACACCTTTGCAAGAGTAAGTTCTTTTCCATTTATGCTTTGCACCTGGTGGCTCATAACCTAGTTATGTATTACTACAGCTTCTGTAAGAATTGATTTGTGATATCTTTTCAGAGAAATGTTACTAACATAACTTAAAAATTTCAGAAATGTAAAGGAAGTACAGTTTATAAAACTGTAAGGCAAATGCATCTCCAGGTAGAAGGACATTGTAAAAGCATGCAGTATATTTAGGCCCCATTCCACCTTTTTGGAATTGTGGGAAAAAAACGTCCTTGGGACCTTTGTTTCAGTAGCTGTTACTCGGTGAAGCCGGTGGGAGACTCTTGAGGCAGTTTCCATCTGTGACTATCAAACCTTTTTTAGATGAGAAGTGGTGGAGGCAGTTGGGTATAAACACATCTAAATAGACCTAATCTGTGAGTAAATTTTTAATTTAAGAGAAGTTTAAGTAAACTCTGCTTACATAGTGTAGTCACCTACACAAAAATGTACCTGTTTGCAGGCCTAAGCATCTTGTTTAGGACAAATGAATAAGACTATGAGTTGAATAACTCTGTGTTATCAAATTCAGATTGATTTGAGGGAGTCGTCTTTTTTTTAATGGTTCTCAGCTTATTTACTGTGTCGTCATTCCTCCTGTTCAAATTTAAGAATTCTTATGTTTGTGTTGCACATAAGGGAAGAAACTGTCATCTATGTCTATGTCACTGCCTGAGCCTACAAATAAAAATGATTCTATATGTCATGCACAATAAATTTCACCTGTGAACTGCTGTGGTTGCCCATTGAACTGTGGGCCTGGTTACTGGCACTATTTCTTTTTCCATGTCACCAGTCATTGATTAAATGCTAATTCTCCCCTCACCTGTAGCAATTTATCATAGTAATTTAAATTTTTTGTTAATTTAAAATAACTAAAATACTCAAGGATCATTAAGAGGTAGCACTCTTATGTGAGAGAAAAATTGACAAATGGAGAAATGTATTGCTTTTCCCTAGAGAGAGAAAGTGTGGAATGCAGTAATATTTTTGCGGTGCCTGAAAACCCTTTCGAATTTGTTGTGCCATACTTGTTAAATCTAATTATGGATTATGTAAGCGACCACAAAAGTAAAAATAAAAAGCCCATCCAAAGTAAAGAGCAAAATAAAGAGAGCTCGATGATCTTGGTAAGTACAGAGGTATGGCAGTCATATTTAAGTCGGCATAGTGCACCTCAAGATTCTGTTATTTACCGTAATGTTGAGAGCAGAATGAAACACTTGTGTTGCGAGGTAAAAATGTTGTTAACTTTAAATGGTTTACTAGCTTTGGCCTTTTGTAAGGTATCATGTTACAGAGCAAGCACAGCGAAGGGAAATCGAGTATTTATAACATACTGCTGTTAAAGAACAGTCTGACTTGGACCACAATTTTGCAGTAAGATTGGATAGCTGCAAGTGGCAATTTGCATAGGTCAGATTTTGAGAAGAGGGCTTCTTTGGTTTATGCTTTCTAGGCAAAGGGAAAGTAATTCAGAGGTAACCTAGTCAGTCCCAGGTAAGTATAGAAGTTGAAACCTGGGTGTTGGTTGATTCATGTGGTAACAGGTTTTTTCTGTTGCTCAGTCCTGTTCACGCTCTGACTTCAGGTATGCTTTTATCAGCAAGTATATTTAAATATGGTATAAAAATTCCTAAAGTGTTCCATATAGAATAAATAATTAATCTTTTATTGACTTCTGTATTTTTCTTTTTCAAAATAAATTACTAGAAGGCAGGAAAATATTGCCAGGAAGTAAATCAGTAGTAACTCTTACCACAATAGGCACTTTGTCTATATGTAGCTATTTGTTTCTATGCTTCATAGAGCATTTGAAATTGGAAGTGTGATTTAGCAGAAACATTCGGCTGAAATTTTATGTAAGACTTGTAAAATTCACTGAATACTTCATACATAGACATGTTTTGGAGGCCTCTGTAAGCCATGCTTTGTTGCACTGAATTATTCTTATGTCGGATGTAGGAGTTTCGTGTAGAGATTGTTTGCAGCTATTGCAGACTCATAATACCAGGCAAAGGTTGTTGGTTTCAGTCAGCCTGTAAGAAGGATGGATTATCCTTGGTGAGCATTAGGATTGAGAACAGACAGGTCATGCAAGGAAAATGCTAGACATAGTCTGGTACAGAAGGGTCAGTCAAGGAAACAGGAAAGAAGGAAGCATCTCCTGTGGTGTCTTGAATCCCAATGAGTTAACACCCTTCTACGACTCCTTTAACTACTGCAAACAGAACAATTAAATATGGCTTTGGGGTTATCCTTTATTGTAGCAACCACTATTTAAGTATATTTTTTAAATCATGCAGAAAAGGAAGCCTGAGCAGTTCAACAGTTTGCAATTTGCAAGTTTGTCATCCTTTCATTTTAAGTTTTATTTCCATAAATAAAATCTCCTGCTTTCCTAGAAATGCTTTTAGAGAGAAAATTTGTTCAAGTTACTGCAAAAATGATTACTGTATGAGGCACAGAGTGTGAAATCTTAGCAACATGTTTCTGAGCATTAGCGGATAGAAGGCTAATTCCTTGTTTTGACTATCATTTTATACCTCAAGTGAGAGAGAGAATTCGATAAATAAGGCGTACCCTTTGTTTTAGATACTCAAGGACAAGTCAACCCTTTATAAAGAGGACCAAGGGAAAAAGAGGCCCCAGTCTGCATGTCCCCAGGGCCTCCTGAATCCTTGGCTCTGCCTATGAGATCCGTCGTTCTGTGCATCAGCCTCAGCTCCGTTTCCAGCATGGGAACACCCTTGCTTCTCCTGTGCTGAGATAAGTAGATGAGGTCTTTTGTCAGGGGTTGAGTTTGGCTATCTTGTTTTGCTTAACTTCATCAGCTGACTTTTCCTTGAGTTAGAGAAAAGAAAAGATGCTCGTAAGTTACTTTTCCAAAGGAACCAAGGCAGGTCTTTATATGTCTAATATTTGTTTATTTCTGGTACAATGTCTATGGTAGTATTGGTGTGTACTGGAAAGTCATGATTCCTTCTTTCCAGTGTGCATTACCATAGTATGTCACTTTGTTTACATTGCTGTTGTGCCTCCAAGATTCTTAGTTATGATAATGAACTGATTGCTAAGTGACCTACACACCTAGACAACCACAGCTCTCCTGTGATGGAGTTGTGTAATTCTTGAACTTTCATCTATGTAGTGATCTCTTATGAGTTCTTTGTGATCAGGGTGGCGTAACTAAGTGAAACTCATAACCTACAGGTCTTTTTTCCCCTCTGTGGCAGTGACAATGGTCAGCAGTGGTCCATGCCTTCCTGAAGCCAAATGTCTCAAATGAAACATTTCAGGGATAGCCTGTTTGGTGCTAGGATTAGTTTAATAGCTTAATGCCCCTCCCCTCCTGACACGCGCGCGCACACATACACACACACACGCGTTTTTGTTTCTTGGATGTGGGACGGTCTAATTCTTTCCCATGTCCCTTTGTCTTGTACTGTCAGTTTAAACAATTGTTGACAAGTTCTCCTTTGATCAAAATATTTTTTCAGTTTTGACCTGGTAAGTCTCAATGCTACGAAAGCAGTATTTGGAGAGAAGAGAGACAAAAATCTTTTGAAGCTGAGGGAGAGCAAAAAGTTGTTGTTGAGAGGCAGGACATTGTCTCCCTAGAGTAGGCCAGGATGTTGGTCTATTTATTCTTTTCAATATTTTTGTTACCTTAAAATTTTTTTTTTTTAGCCGTGATATAAATTACTTGGTTCCTGTTATGACTAGGCTAGTAGATTACTGAATAACTAGCTTAATCAAAGTTCTCAACAGATCGTTAATAAAGGTTCGTAGCAACATATTCATAATCTGAAATACCAACTCATTTTTCCCCTCAATATTTTAAAAAAGAGGAATAGCCTTGCAGTATTGTCAAGAATAGAGGGGGAAAACGATTACAAAGCCCCTGATTGGAAATCATGCTGAATATCTGCTTTATTTTAGATTTCTTTAAATAAATTTAGGTTGGCACTGCTGCCATTTTACCCTCCATTAGCAAAGAGCATGTGCCAGCTTTTTCATTTTCTCAGCCCTACAAAGCATATCAAGCTAGGCAGAGCCGCGTTCAAGATGGGAAGCGAATGCGCTGGGGTTGTATTGAACGGGCTTTAACAGTCAGTTCGTTGACTTTGAAGATGTGAGTAAACACATCTGTGTGTTAGGATTTTAGCATCAGTTAACTTTTTAAATATAGAAACAATTTCTCTTTTATTTTTCTTGTTGTTGTATGATAGATACAGTAGATACAACACTTCTAGTATTTGGCCTTTGAAAACTTCTATTTCTTTGAAAAACACAGGAAGTGTAGCACTGAAAGATAGGTTTCCCTTTTTCGCTGAAGGTTAATACTATTCCATAAAATCCGTTTCTGGTAACCCACATTCAGGAGCCCTGGGTTACCTGACTTACCTTTCTGAACTCTCAAAAAGCCCATTACGCCTTTCATTGTGTATTCTCAATTAAGGGAAAAAAATCTTGTGTTACCTGTCTTTATTAATAAACCTTTTAACTCCTTAGTATCCTGCTTTCTTGTAGGAAATGAGTTGTAAAAATTTAAGGTAGCTTTTATTGACATTCTTATTCTCTTTGTGTGTGTGTGTATATATATACACCTACACATACATCCTGTCGAAACTTTATTACGTTATCTACAGAAGCAGGATTGCTGGTAGTGATCTCTCCACTGCATGAACAATGATGCTGTAAACAATAAAATGAATTTCCCGATTAAAAGTGTCAAATATCATTGTACTGAGTTGACACTGATACAGGCCAAACAACTGCAAACTGGATGTATGCTTTTTTCTGTTAAAGGAAGCAAGGCTGGGTAGGACAGTGAAGTTTTATGCCCATTTAAAAAGATATTAAACCTGTTCTGGTGATTGTGCTGCAAGGGTTAGAAGTGAGTAACTCTTGCACTAACTCTTAACTTTAGAAACTAGGTTGGGTGAGGGTGGGTTCTTGTGGTCTCACGCTGAGCCTATTCTGTAAACGTATTTGTGGTAAACTGGATTTTGAAACTTCTTGGTGAACAATGGAAATTCTGTGAATGATTTAAGAAAGATAAACAATGAAGTCTGCTGAAATAACTATAGAATTGAATAATATACCATTAGTGATTGTACTATTGTTAAATTTGACTGTATAATTAAACTCTTACTCTGCCTGAAATGTTTTTAGCTGTCACTGAGCTATTCAAGCAGATTGTAAATTTACTGTTGTGAATTTCCTTTGTAGTGTTGTAGAAACTGTTGGAGGAAGTTGGTGATTTATGATAGGGTCTGTTTGATCTAGTTCAAATATTTAAAAAGTATCTAAAGATGAAGCTATTCACCATAGACTCCTTTAAGTTCTTACCCTAAGGTGGACAGATATTTTTAATAAACTGTTTTATGGAAATACTTATGTTTCTCTGACTCTAAAGAGAGCCAAGGATCACAAGGTCAGAAGTACACATCTGTTGTCAATCTCTTTTAAAAAGTTAGGTCAAATGAATCCCATCTTTGGGTTCTGTCAGTTGTCTGTTCAGTCAGAAAAAGTGGATATGTAGTTTTGGCTTAACTGATCGTGGGCTAAAATGATCAACAGTGAAATAGGTAGTGGTCCTGCCAACTAATAGCATCAATTAAATTGTCACTTTTTGCACTAAACTGAGTTGACTTGCAGCTATTCTCACTTCACAGTTTAGATGTACAGACACATAAGTGCTTTAGAAACAGTTGTAAAGTGTTATTGTCCTCAGGTGGAATTGTCTGTCTTTATGGGTAAGTGGGATAAAATATATACATGCTCCACGCTACTTCTGGAGGAAACAATTGGCTCAACTGAAGTAGTCTTTTTAGCTTGGCAGTTTAAACATAGGGTGTAGTTTCATGCTGTTGATTAGGACAGTCTTAAGGTTAGTTGTGCTCAGTGGCTTTGCACTTTTTTGCCTTTCTTTGCACTGGCACAGCTCCTCAGCTGATCCAGTGTTAAGTTAGTTGAGGAAGCTAAAGAGCAAAAAACTAGCAAGGAGAGAGTTGGTCCGTGGAGTGAGCAGATGAATGATCCAGGAATGTACCAGCACCAGAGTGGAAATAAATGGCTGGGAGTGAATGGGAGGGGGCAGGAATTCCCTTTCCCTCAGCAGCTTGCTGATAGATGGACTTGGTTTAGGAGAATTTTGACGTGATATTTGTCTGTTCCCATCCTGAGTAGAACAGGATTGCTTTGTAGAGTAAGATTTGAAACGAAGAGTAGGATTAATTGATTTGTTTCTTCCCTGCCTTTTGGGCTCTGTTTGGGAAACCAGACCATGGTCAGGGCCTTCAACCTCCTGTGTGTTGTCCAGATTTATAATGTATAAGGCAGCCACCGCCTCACAGTATTGTGAGCCTCCGTAAGGACAGTCATGACAATTGATTTACTGACATCAAATTTGCTACTGAGCGGTACCAAAGATTTTGAGCTTCCACAGGAGGATGGCAGCATGCCTCCCCTTGCTTAAAGGGACTTTCATATGGCTCATCTGCCACAGCCCTTGTTCAGGGGATTTCTTGGGCGTTGTCATCCTGAATTTCTACTGTTGCTTTTTATCTTCCTTGGTCACCACTGCTGTTCTCTCTGTGTTCCCCCCAGAGCCTAGGATTTTGACAGCTGTAATAACCTGCTATGCATTGAATAAAGCTGTACCAGTGAACTGCTCTGTAGAAAGGGCCGTCTTCCTCCTGTTCCTCTTCCTTCACTGGCTACCTCACTTCCACAGATGCAGACCTGTCTCCTCAGACAATGATGTATGTAGTCATACACAGAATCACAGAATGGCCAAGGTTGGAAGGGACCTCTGGAGATCATCTAGTCCAACCTCCCTGCTCCAGCAGGGTCATCTAGAGCACATTGCACAGGATCACATCCAGACGGGTTTTGAATATCTCCAGGGAAGGAGACTCCACTGCCTCCCTGGGCAACCTGTTCCAATGCTCTGTCACCCTCCCAGTCAAGAAGTTTCTCCTCACGTTCAGATGGAACTGCCTGTGGTTCAGTTTGTGCCCATTGCCTCTTGTCCTGTCGCTGGGCACCACTGAGAAGAGTCTGGCCCCATCCTCTTGATACACTCCCTTCAATTACTTGTACACGTTGATGAGATTGCCTCTCAATCTTCTCTTCTCCAGGCTGAACAGGCCCAGCTCTCTCAGCCTTTCTTCAGAGGAGAGATGCTCCAGTCCCCTGATCATCTTTGTAGCCCTCCGCTGGACTCTCTCCAGGAGTGCCATGTGTCTCTTGTACTGGGGAGCCCAGCACTGGACATAGTACTCCTGGCCTCACCAGGGCTGAGAAGAGGGGGAGGATCGCCTCCCTCCACCTGCTGGTAATACTCTGCCTAATGCACTCCAGGATCCCATTGGCCCTCCCGGCCACAAGGGCACATTGCTGGCTCATGCTTAACTCGTTGTCCACCAGGACTCCCAGGTCCTTCTCTGCAGAGCTGCTTTCCAGCAGGTCGGCCCCCAGCCTGTCCTGGTGCATGGGGTTCTTCCTCCCTAGGTGTAGGACCCTGCACTTGCCTTTGTACATAATAATACAGAAAGTTCAAGACAGACAAGACTTTCTTGCTACAGAATAAAGCAGTTAATTTCTAATTTTGCTTTGTGTATCTGGACTTAGCTCTTGTATGATGGCTTGTAGCTTTGAGGAGACTAGTTTCAATGACCTAGGTCATACCTTGTGCTATGTAAAGGTAGTACAATCAGGAATTTGGGGGAATCCACGTGTCCCTTCTCTCTCTGTCTCTCATTCACATATATATATAAAATCCATAAGTTCTACTAGCTTTTTGTAACGTCCTTATGCTGTTATTGCATGACACTAATAGTGAAAAACGGACACAAATTAGTGAAGCAACAACCTAATTACTCTGGCTTCTAGCTCTGGTGGTTTATATTGCTACTCTATTTGACTTTGTTATGTGAAAATTGTTTCTTAATTCTGAAATTCCAGTCATCTGTAAATATAAATTTATTTTTGAGAACTGAGTTTTCATCTGACTTTAATTATGATCACAACTGCTTATAAATGCATGTTTTTGAGGAGCAACACTATCAAGATGCATGTAGAGCAAAACAGAGGTGCAAAACAAAATGATTTTCACTCTTATTTTACCTTTTTTCTTTGTCCCCATTGTTTCTTGCTATTACTTATAATGCTGTGTCTATACATGTTCTGTGAATTCTTAGGGATAGTATGATGAATTTTTAAAGCCTCCTGCATGTTTTGGGGGGCCTGGGAGGGGAAGATGGATCACAGTGTTATGTGCTTGGTTTTATGCATTTATCTTTTTGGACAAGCATTGCATTTAATTCCATTTGTTTCCGGGTACAACTTGGAAGAAGATTAAGAGAGGAAGCTGAACTGTTGAAATTTAGCAGAGATGTGGTGTTTTGAGCACTTCTGTCAATGCATGGTCTATCAAAATAGAAGAAACTTTGCCGCGCTTGATTATTTAACACTTGACATGATAGGGGTGTGTGTGCATGTTTGTGTTACAGCACGCATAGGAACATAACTGAATTATTAGAATGTTTTCATTATACATTTTGTTTTTCTCCTGGAGAAAACTGAACATTGATGATCTTCGTTTTAACTCATGAGACTGAAGGCCTTCTGGAAAAATCTGAAACATGGCCTGAAAGTATATCTAGCACCATATATGCTGTACTTTCCTCTCTATTTTAAAAGCCTAAGTGTATGCATTAGTTTGATTTTCCTTTGTATCATTTATTTTTTGCTTTTTAATCTTTACCTGAAGTTATAACATTGTCTGACATCAGTTGTGAAAATTCTGATGTCATAATACTGAGACCGATGGCTTCACATAGGAATATGCAGTAGAAAGGGAGTAACTGGAATAAAGCAGCTGCCTTGATGTAAGTATTTAACGTTAAAAGCGTAGCTAAAATGAAATACAGAAGATACAGTTATGGAAATCACAGTATTCTGTACAGACTAGCTCAATGGTGGTGTGGAGAAGGTCTCACAATATTGATGTGGCTCAGCATTTTGTTTTCATAACTAAGGAGACTAGCTTGAATATTTTCCCTCATCCTAAAAAAAAAAAAATCCCAAACCCTAAAGTCCTCTTAAAAAATTGGTGATATAATATGCTGACCTGTGACACTTCTCTTGTTTTGTTAACTTCCCTGACTACCTTTCCTTCCTGAATTGCCACACAACTCTCAGTGCTCTTGTCGTACTACTCTCAAGTGGAATATGCTGTTACAGATAAATAATACTTGTCTTGGGCATTTGTGGCTTTAAGCGCCTTTCTTGAAATACAGAGTGAGAAAGAACTACTTGGAATACATGATGCCTACAAGTTATCTGACCTCAGACCAAAGCTGGACTTACTGGGACAAATTGGCCTTTGGTCCAGAAGCTGGTCTCTGAAAGCAGCTTGTG